AGATTTCTGCAGAATTGAAGACTTACCATAGCTGAATTGGAGATTGATTTCTTGCCATATTCATCACTAGCCGTTACAAGGAGATTGCTGCAGAATTCTTGTTTCCTTTTATGTATTTTCGCCATCTTTCTTTTCCTTTTCTTGTTGCACGAAATTTCCCTCTTTTCCTTTCACTTGTTAGCCTATTTAAAGGCTGCATCTATGTCATTTTTCAGCAGACTTTTCAGAAATAAAAATTGGAGCATTTGTTCTTCTTATTCTCGTGTTGTCTTGAGCAAATACAAGCAATTTCGAGTTTTTCTTTGTGTTAAGGTTTGAGAGAGATTCCTAAGCCCTAGCCAAAGAGTTAGTGACGAAATCAAAGAGTTTTCCATCCCTCTTTGTGGTGTCACCTATCCCATTCCATTCCATTCCTCTTGAAGTGTAATCTGAGTGCTCATAAGCCTAGAACACTTCTCCATCACTATCCCTTGGAATCGTTTGGTGAGAAGCCCATAAGCCTACCGAATCTCCAATCTATCCCGAGCCTTGCTCCATTAGAGAACCGTGCGTGTATCACCAATATTCTTAGATTCTGAATCACATAGAGATATGGGTTTAGTTTCGGATCGAGATTGATGAATGAATCGTATTATTCACATAGAGATATGGTTTAATCGATTTAGGATTGATGATAGCGTTCTTCATGCATCTAGGGTTAACTTGAATAGATAGAGAGATTGACGAGTTATTCTAGGTAGTGAGTTAGCAGACCGAGAGGTGAATTTCTGAATACAAGTACGATGTCGTTATTCTCGCAAGCTTAGTAAATACCCATACACGCGAATACGATCCCGACACCTGTAGTCATCCTTGTTTGATAGGTCACTTGTTTTCATTGATTTCTTATTTTGTTTTCCATTGATTCCATATATTTCCATCATCACTTGCTTACTTTCTTTGGTTTAGTTTCGATTAGGGTTTAGACTTAGCTACCGGTCCTTGCGTTCGACCCCGTGTTACGATGATCCGTATCCTTCGGTGAGTTGTGAATCGGGTTATAAATTCTAGACTCGATACACACGTATCAAGTTTTTGGCGCCGTTGTCGGGGACTGGTTAGCCTATTTATAGGTCTTCATTGATTCTAGATCTTTGCTTTGTTTTTGTTTTCTTTTTCTTTTTGTTTTTCTTTAGTTTTTGTGGATTCACTTGGTCTCGAGTTCTTATTTTTCTTTGCGGTTTGCAGGGTTCTAGTGCATGACAAGGAGCTCTACTCGGAGAGAAGACCTAGTCTACGATCCAGAGATTGAGCGTACTCTGAGAGACATCCGAAATCAGCAGAGAAGAGAAGCTATGTCGAGGTCGAGTAGTTCGCACGACCATCAACAAGATCGTGCGGTTCATGATGAGGAGCATCACGAGAATCAGAACCACATGAACCAAGAGCACATGAATCCGCTCTACGATCAGCAGACCGAGGGCGAAGCTACTTACATTGCAGAGGAGACATTGGGTTCTTACATTGCACCGAAGCACACCCAACTCCTATCATGCATCAACAGACCGCCCATAGACAGTTTCGAGCTACCGCCACAGTGCATCACGATGTTCAGTCAGGCGAGTTTCAGAGGACGGCCCACAGAAGATCCCATTGCTCACTTGACTCAGTTCAAGATGTTGTGCAGATCAGTTAGGAAGGCCAGAGGGATGACCATCGAGGATGTATACTTGGAGGCTTTTCCTTTTTCACCGATGGACCGGGCAAGAGATTGACTCTACACTCTTGAGCCAAACTCGATTACGACATGGGAGGAGCTAGATGATCACTTGCGTGACGAGTCTTAAATTTGTAACCCGAAACACAACTAATCCGCAAGTATACGGATGTCGTAGTACCGGGGTCAAACACAAGGACTTAAGCGGTTAAGCTAGGAATCGACTAAAACTAGGAAAATGGTAAAAATAAGGTTGGAGAATTGTTTTTGTTGGTTTTCTTTGGAATTGCAGAAAATTTAAAGAGAGAAACTAAAGTCAAAGACAATCACAATTCAAGAGGAGACAATCAAATGAGCAAGGGTTATGGGTTTCGGGGTTCACCAACATGCAGGATGTGCTAAATATTTAGAATCTATTGATGGATGTGATGCTCTAGGATGATCATACGATATGAAAACTGTGCATGATATGATGTATTTATTGAACGAATGCATTGTTTGTTCATTATTTATTTTGCATATTTGATAAATAATGATATCCGGACGATCCTAAATTCCTTAGTCGCTTGTCATTGTGGGAGCAATGATGAATTACGACTAACATGAGGCGTGATGGATGATCATGGTGATGATCATGTGTATTGGATACGGAACACGGTCATGAGTACTTGTTTGGAACAAGTGACTGGATGACTCGCGTGAGATTGTCGATTGGATTTATAATCAATGACTTGAATCTCACTTGATGGTTCACTTTGGATCCTCAGACCTGAGATATCTATTGTATCCATCATGACGAGTAATGTACTTTGACTGCGTCAAACGTCATTGTGACACCAGTATCCCGCTTTCCGTAAACAGGATGCGCCACATGGACTAAAACCGATAAAATAATACTAAACAAGAATACGGGAGTTTTAAAACTTTTTAAACATAGTTACGCAGCAGAATTACAAAACGTACGATCATAATCGCAAAACCAACACATGTCCGAGTAGTAAATAAAACACCGTACGAAAGATGGGAATACATATCCCGTAGTCCAAAACACAAAACCCGTACATGATGTTGTCTCCTCGATGTTATCGCAGTCCAAACGTGCTACACGTGCTCCTCGAGATCTGAAAAAGGTAAACCACGAGGGCTAAGCACAACCTCTTAGTGAGTAGCCCGGGTTGAACCCGGTAAATCCGTTCTCAGCGAGAACGGTGTTAAAACGATGGTTAACATTCATATAACACAATAACCAACACGCAACACCACATAACATGCTTTGCAAACACATCAATCACATCATATTCGTATGACCACCAGAGGTGTGGTACTGACTCAATGCTCTACTAGTCCTCACCATCATAACCGTACTGACTCGCTCATCCACCGGTACGTTTATGTGGTTCCTCGGCACTCATCCACGTAGTAGTACTGACTCACTCGTCCACCGGTACGTTACGTGAGTCACTAGAATCACCGATCTGCATAGTGATACTAACTCAACCGTCTACCAGTATCACTAAGCACCATAAAACCCCGTAGCGTGCAGTGCTGACTCCATCATCGACCAGTACTGACTCCACAGTTTTACGCCCACGAAATAGTACTGACTCGCTCGTCCACCGGTACTACTTACGGGGTATTCCATTTTGGAAGTAGTACTGACTCAATCGTCCACCGGTACTATTCCAAAATGATGTCACAGTACTGACTCAATCGTCAACCGGTACTGGCATCCACAGTACTGACTCAATCATCAACCGGTATTGGCATCCACCATTCGCACAGTACTGACTCAATCGTCTACCGGTACTGGCATCCACAGTACTGACTTAATCGTCAACCGGTACTAGCATCCACCATTCGCACAGTACTGACTCAATCATCTACCGGTACTGGCATCCCCAACACAATCACGCTTGACTCGCGTCGTACGAGCAAGCTACACACATGGCATACATCATGCATATATCCCTCAATACAATCACACGTCCCCCGTATAATCACGGGACGAGTCACCCGCTTTGTTGAATCACATCTCTCCGCGCATGGTAACTCGAAAATTCTCCGAAGAGTGAGTTCTACACTCTGGACCGGTTGGTCCAAGTTGACGTTGGCCTTCGGTTCGTCCGTTCTGTCCCGGTCAGTTCGGGTGAACCATTCATTCTGAAACACAGACCGTCCAGACTGGAAATGGCAGTCCGTCCATTCTAAGGAAGCCAGTCCGTCCGTTCTGGGAAGTCAGTCCATCCGGTCTGGTTCTGCGCTTCTTCGCGAAACAGCTTTCTGGTCCGACTTTGATTGCTCATATCTCCCTCATTTCTTATCTGAATTGAGTCTCGTTTGTTGCTATATGTTCATTGAGATGTCCTCCTTCAATTACAATCAACCAATAATTGAAACACTGCAGTAGAGTACTGGGAAATGGTTCGAAATACTTGTATGTTGACAGGTTCACGTTCTGCGTTTTTTCAGCTTCTCTACCATCTTCATTCACTCATATCTCACTCATTTCTCCCCAAATTACGTCCTGCTTGTTGCTAGATGTTCACTGAAATATACTCTATCTAATCCAAGCAGCAAATCATCGAGAAAACGAGCACACACAGATGCAACTCAAGCCACTCACCTTGGATCAGATTCGGATCTAAAATCTATAGTCGTGTGTGCCGAGTCTAAAATCTTTAACCCGATTCACAACTCACCGCAAGCATACGGATCGTCGTAACACGGGTGTTGGAGAACGAAGTAATGCTGAAGAACAAACCGAGCTACATAACTCATCTTTCTTGGACAACACTCGAGCGGTTGAAGCATTTGATTCAACCATAATATTAAAAGGCAAGACTAACACATGAAAGGGAGTTAATATGAGGATCATTTCTGCATAAATCAAGGACCAACAGATTGATACCCATCGTATCATGGTTGCCAAATATAGGAGACGTAATTTGCCTTCTATCTACCTAGAATAGGAATGTTTCCATTTCCTTTTAGATCCTCACAACGTTCATATGCATATTTTTCCTTTTCCTTTCTAAGTCTTTATTCTATATATTGTAAACAAATATTCATGAATAATAAGAAGAACCAAGTAACCTATTTGGGTTACCTTTCTTTATCTTCTTCGTACAAACCTTGCAGAAGGATACATCAACAATAATCTCTCTCTCCCTTTGATCTTCATTCTCCAATCTACTTGATTTTCTTCTAAAATCTTCA